TACGTAGTTAGAAGCACAACAGCGTGTGTATATTTTTATACTTCTTCCTTTTATTTATTTATTTATTTATTTTTTGGTTTTAAAATTAACAAAATCATTTAATTGTAAATAGAAATAACTAAAATATTGTGGTGTTTTTAAATTGTATTTGTAAATGTAATTTGTATAATTAAAAAATGTAAATTGTAAAAAATGTAAAATGTAATAATATAATACGTAATAATATAATAGGTAATAATATGTAAGATAATAATAGATATTTACTGTTTTTAAGGTTTGGGAATTATACTCGTATACGATTGTTATTCATGTGTTTCGTTGGTAATAATATCATTGTTGATGTCATACAATTTTTAAAAAGTGTTACTCAACCATCTGAGGTATGAAAAAGAATTTAATGTTGATTAATCTTTACACCGGAAAAAAATTTTGTAAATTGATTTTTGTTTTTAAATTTTGTGTAGAATTTACACTGAAGAGGGCTCATACAAGCCTGAAATGCATATGTAATTTACAATAAAGGAATACTTAACCTCAGAGCTGAAAGAAAGTCTACCGTTTGTTAACCATTCGGATTGAAGAGACATTTACTAAATCTAAGTATTTATCAGCTATTATACCAGATTTTGTGATACAAATACAGCTTTAAACAATTTTCTATGAAACAAATATTGAGTTAAATTTTTAATTGCAAGATTGTAGTACGTTTTGTGCTATACAATTTGCGCTTTAACTGTAATGAGTGTTTAATTTTTCATTCCTGCTACACGAAATCATGAATAAGAAAAAAATAAAAAGTTTTTACTCGAATTAATCATGAACAAGAATGACAATATGAAAATGATTCGAATTCCGATTTTTTCACAGTAATGAAATAATTTATTTTATGCATTCACAAGATAGGTAAAAGGAAAGATATTAAGAAATATTGAGTCTTACGTAATACAAATTGAATAAAACAGTTCATAGATCCTTATTATACAGCATTAATTTGAAAGAAAAGTCACTAAAACAAGTTTTAGCTGTCTTTGAAAAAAAACCACCATTACGAAAGATTTAAAGATATTTCGGAATAAGTCAATAAAGATACTAAATAAAAAGAAAATCTGTCAAAGTGAGACAGATAAATTATTTAAACAAGAAATCAAAAATAATATGTTTAAAGTTTAATTTTTTTCAATAGTTATAATCATATATGAGTGTTTTGAACAATTTGATTTTTTAACAAGTTACAAGTAATCCCAGAGCTACAACTGAGTTTAATCTCAATACTCCCGTCAAAAGTCAAACTTTTAATAACAAAAATTGGATTGGATTTGAGTGATGGAAGAAGACAACGCAACACATGGACGATCTGCCAAAGGAAAGTGCTACTCCAGAGGACTTTCTATGGGAAACTGGTCCTAATTATGTCCGGTGTTCAGTGATATTATCCATTCGACCATTGGTGGGCGGTAACAAAGAAGTACTGTTCTTAAGGCCACGCATAAACCTACATACATAATATTGCGCATATATGTGTATTATAACATTAGACAAAAAATTTTATCTTTCATAATTTTTCTTGATCTTCTGTACATAATTTCGTTTTATCTGTTATTTTTGGTGATTAAGCTATGAAAACACAGGATAAGAAAATAATTTGTTTACTATTAATTTTATTGGTAATAAAAAGACACGTGTCTTTTTTATTACCAATAAAATTAACAAAACGTATATTAAGGTTTAAAAGTTTTCTTGCTGGCTTTTCGTTTACATTATGCGCTTTTAGTTTCTGAAATCAATGACCAGTAATATTCAGCACCATTTCGCATTCCTTTTATAACATATTTACTTAAGCGTATTCATAATACATTATTAATGTTATTGAGAATTATTCAAGAATATGATGTGATGTCCAACTTTGGAAAGTAGTTTAATAATCGACATTAGTAAACGTAGATAGTATACCTAATAAAGTATAAAACAAAGCAATTCAAGTTGACAAGTGTCAGGTACTGTATATACTTTTTATAATACTGTACAGCAATGCTGTTTTCAGGGCCGTCGAGAACTTATATGAGGCGGTAGAGTAGATCTCTTTAACTGTTTAGCACACCCTTTTGCCTTGTTTTTTAACAAATGAAATACGTAGTATGTTTCTTTATTAATGAAAACGGCAGTCTTAAACAATTTTATTTTGTTAAATAAAAATAACATTAGTTTACAGGGGTAGAAACTACTATGAGTCTTTAATTTTCTCCAGATCCAGGAAAAAATCCTAGCTTCTTCCTGTCGACGGTCCTAGTTGCTTAGACATATTGTACTTCAAACCAGCGTTTAATATTTTAATTAATTAATTATATTTTATTAAGACAAATATTCACGAAGAAACTCACGAGGACAACAGTCATCAAAAACACCAAGAATAATATTGAGAGAGTATTGAAATTTTCATGGAAAATAATTTTTATTGTTCATTTTATTTAATTTATCATCAATTCATATTGTGCTGACCGATAAGGTGATAAAACAATTAAGGGCAGTAAAACAGCACACTTGTTGAGACGAAGAAACGATATCTCAGATCTCTGGCTGCTGCGAAAATCACTCTGGTT